CATTCTTATCATCTTTCGTAGAAACTGCAAACACAGGCAAACTTTCATATCGCTTGATCTTAGGGTTATTGTATTCAGACTTGGATTCTTCATGATAGGCATATTTATCGTTTTTAATATTAAACCATTTATCGAGTTCACCTGTTTTGAGATTATATGCTCCGATTTTGTTGCTTTTTCTACAGTTGATGGAAAACAAGTAATGCTCTATTATGCAATTATTCAATCTGCATTCAACGATTTCTTCGGATATTGTATCTTTTTTCGCAAAATTATGCATTGGTGGCGGATAAGCATGATCGTTGTTCATTCTTTTCAAGAAAGTTCTGGCGTTCGCCTTATGAATTGGTATTTTTCTAAAGTCATTTCGTCGTAATACGATAAGTTCGTCCTTATTAAGAAATTTAATAATTCCGTTTCCAGTTCCGTGAAATCGTTCATGTTTTTCTACAATATCTGAATTATATGTGAACAAAAAGATATCTTTCGTAGTAAAACGCTCTAAGATTAAATCATTGCTTGATTTAAAGATTACGGGATCCGATTTGTTCTGATTAGATGAAAGGTTATAAAAAGAAAAAGCAATTTTACAGATGCGTCTAGTAATATTGATATCAGAAATTGCAATTGAAAATTTCAGTCCCGTGTTTATCTCAAAGTATCCGATAGTTGGCTTTTTGTCGTTTTGCACAGGGTTATGATGTTGTTCTATGCGAATTCTTGTGCTTATCTCGAAGTATCCGATAATTTGCTTTTTGTCAATTTGCATCAAGTTATGATGTTCTACGCGAATTATAACTGGAGATATTATCAGAAATTATTCTTTTATGTATTTATTTAATTGATTAATAAGATAGAACTTACTTTTTTTCTCATCTATGGATTCAGATAAAGTAACAACACTTTCGCCATTTTGGCTTATTTCGGCTTTGAATATTTTGAAGGAAGTATTTTCATATCGATATGGATCACTTTGATCTTTTTTAAAGCATTAACGAAAGATAAAATTAAATCTTGCAAATTGCATAGAAAAAAACTATTATCCTCTAGCATATCTGGTGCTGTATCATACGAGTACAGTTATGTTATAACTCGAATGCATATATCAGTTTCTTACGTTCTTTTTTAGCACGTGAAAATAAATGTAGCGGTATTGAAAAATCACGTTTTATCCTGGAGGTTTCAAGAATATCTGAAATTTATAATAAATATATTTTTTTAAATTAAACAAATTTATAATTATTAACAAACTTAATAAATGTTAACCATTTTGTTCAACTACAATAACAATATCTGCTTTTTCCTGATGTTTGACAATATCTTTTACGCGTGACATTTTTTATGCAGTAGGTCAATAATAAAAGCATAAACAAAGCATTGAGTGGTGAATTTTTTAAAAAGACTTCTTTCTGCTCGTATTTAAAAGATTTAAACGTGTACACGATTCACAGATTTCTACGACGGATTCGATAGGCAAATCTATTATTACTTTTCATCGTCTAGATATGACAAATTTATTTATGCAAATGAATGAAGAATGTGAATAAAAAAATTTTTTGGCAGTAAATACATTACTTTGTGCAACATTTGATACTATTGAAACTGCTTTTATGGTAATTTCAAGCAATAACTTATAGCGTTTCGAGATAATTGTTTAGTTCAATAGCGAAACTGCTTTTATGGTAATTTCAAGCAATAACTTAAATAGTTTCGAGATAATTGTATAGTTCAATAGCGGTAAAGATAGATGAAGAAAACCAGTTTCATGCTGGCGTTTCGGACGAAACTAGTTTCGCTAAACTTGATTTACAAATAAAATTTCGTACTTATAGGGAGAAACGGAAAGGTCACTGGGAAAAATGTTGGATTTGAAAAATAGTTTCGTTCGAAACACTATTTCATTATAAATAATAATAAAAAACCCATTATTTTATCATAACATTACTATTCAGTTTGTTATTGATCAGAATAGTGTTTTTCAAAATCCGAAACGTTTCGCCCAGTGAACTATTATTCGAAACTCTTTGTAGATCAAATTGGACGAAACTAGTTTCGTCCGAGACACTAGATCAGAAGCATTGTCATGTACATGTACTTGATGCATGCATAATGGCGTTTCAAAGCAACTTGCGAAAAAAAGTTTTGATTAAAAAACTCATAAAATAATACAACTTGATTAAAATACTGAATACAAGGCAAACTCGTTAAGACGAAATCATCCTAAGCTGAAATGCAGTAAACAGAAGTTTTTTCGACCATAAATTTATGTGATTTTATATGTATATTCGGCTTAGCAAGCCGAATATTTGGAACTTCCCCGAAATTTTGGGCTTATCAAGTTTACCTTGATATGGCTTAAAAAAATATTTTTCCATTAAATTAGATTATTTTTAATTATATACATCCTATTTATATTACCAAAATTAAGATTTTTAATTATACGTGGGATGTTTGTCACTGAATCTACGTATTCTTTTGTAAATAAAAAAAACCAGTTTTATCTTTTGAATAAATTATTAAATTTTATTCATTGAAGTAACCTACCTCCCATAACTTTCCATAGATCATGTTTAATGTACAGAATTTTCCGAACACAAAGAACATTATAAATGCTGATCATTGATACCTTTTATAGATTCTATCGCTATATCGATTCATAAACTAAAGTTATTTTATAACATATCGATATTGTTATCGTAGTGACATTAAATCCTTTAATTCCGTAATTTTTATTCTTACGTAATTTTACATGAATATTTTTCCATAATTTCTCTTGATGATTTCTACATGATAATCCTTTCATAACGAACACAGGACATGTCCCCCTATTTTTATATGTAATTGTTTCACTATATGATCGACAACCAACATAAAACATTTTACATATTATGAAGCAGAAGTTTTATTTGCTCTGTCTGTTTATTTTATGTTATTTTTAAAGGTAAACTATCATAGTGCTATAAGACAAAGAATAATGGCAGATACTTCCTACTTGTATTTTTAATACAAATAATGTAACAAAGAAAACCTTAAAACGAGCGTCATTTAAAGTTAGCGTTCTGGTTATAATATCTATCGATCAAAATAGCAAAGATCAGCAGACACGTACATAACGTAATAAAAATGAATTTCACATCATCACCGTCATCTATTGATTTAAGCCAACCATTTTTATTGCTTTTGTCCATCTTTAAGTAAAATTCCATTCATATGATATCGATATATGCATGTATTGTTACACCAGTAACACAGTCTCCTTTTAGAAATGCATTGTTTTTTGTGTGTTTCTTTATTTGTGTCAATCAATTCAAATTACACTGCAAATTACACTGCAAATTACACTGCCAATTACACTGTAAATTCCACCGTAAATTCTACTGTAAATTATGATGTAAATTACACTGTAATTTACACCATAAATTACACCTTAAATTACATCATAAATAGGAAGTCAAAAATGTATATAATGAGAGTGAGAAAAAGCAATTAGAGAATAGGCAGAAAAATTGGCAATAAAGCAATAAAAAATAATTACTTACTTGCATATAATTAGTTTTTATGGTGCTCTTTCATTCTCCATTCCAATAATTAAATTCATTATTACAAAAAGAGGTTTGTCACTTTGATCCAGAAAAAGTGAGATGAATGTGATTTGAAGAGTTTGTTACTTTGATCCAGAAAAAGTGAGATGAATACAATTTGAAGGATTTGTCACTTTGATCCAGAAAAGTGAGATAATTGTTTAATGATTATAATTTAAGGATTTACATTTTTGGTTCAGAAAAAGTGAACGCATTATTAATATTTGTGAAATATGTAATCAAAACCAAATTGATAATTGAATACAACAATATTTGAAGATATTGACACAGAATCTTGGAAAACTAATAAATAAAATAATTTTAGTTTAATTTGTTTTTCCCATTCAAGTTACAGATTAGCAGCTAATTTCTATAATTAGTCACTAATCTATAACATTTTGATATCATCTCTCTGTGAAAATCAACTCAATAATCATGAATTATAAAAACTCAAAAATCAACAATGAAATTATTAATCAAGAATCAGAACAAAATAACAAAAAATGAATTATCCTATGAAAATATCTTAATGAAAATACCATATACAATGATGGTAATAGTTAAGACTTCAAGACATCAAATAAAGGAATTAACAGAAATTATAGAGAAATATCATTATACAGAAAAATTAATAAAATAGCTAACACAAATAATTTAATAGAAATTCTAACTCATTTTAGTAATATTGTTACCATTTCTGTTGGTTTATTAACTTTCAAGTATAAATCACGTGTTCTTCATGTGTCTCAATTAAGTGGGAGAGTTATTAAAGGCTTTTATGTATTTAAAGTAATTAAAGTTGGGAGAGACTAATTTAAT